CTTCTTGGGACCAACGATGCCTCCGGGCACTTTCCGACACCCACTGACAACGTGGGGGATTTCTTTGTTGGCCAGGTGGGAGCACCTGTCTTTAGTGGGCTACGCCGAAAGTCTGCCTCTGCAAACACAGGTATCCAGTCCTCCCGATAATGTAACACGATGAGCTTAGGTACTGGATCCACACGCACCACACTTAAATTTATTAAGACGCACCAAGAGTCCTACCCTGGAAGGTTGCCAACTGATGGAATAGTTTCCCCTCGGGACTGGGAGTCTGGCTGCAATGGCTTTTACATTGCGGCATTTTCATCTATTTGAGATCTGAACCGGCCTTACGGCAGCCTGGTGCACCTTGAGCGAAAGTAGTGTCGTGTGTGTTGCACGCGTAAACGGGCCGTTTGCTATGTTGGTCAGTGTAACCACACCCCCCTCCGGTCAGCTCCACTTCGTTTTGAGTGATGGAGAAGACAGTGCTACAGAGACTGCGAAAGTCTCCCACACAACAAAATAATGCACACGCAGACCATCGCCGCTGGGTCTACCACCTGGAGCAGCGGCGGTCCTCGTCGCTTGCGACGGCCGTAATGTCATTTTAGTCCCGTCATCGCATGACGTATCAGGATTCGCATGTTGACGTGATTCCGGCCAGATATCCATGGACATTCTCATGCGGTCAGTAGACTACGGCTAGGGGTTTCAATTTGTTCCGATTCGTCTCTGGGCGCTCGAACTTCTTTCCCGGCACTCGTTCTCTAGTCAACTTTTAGGCCACTCTGCCGAACCGAACTTTCCTGTTCGTCTTTCGGCTCCCTCTAAATAGGACTGCCTTGTGTCATAGTGGTTACGACAAACTCGTGCGCCTGGTTATGTTAGCGTGGTCGTATGATCATCACTAAAATTTGGCTGATACTTAACCACCACTGATTTACCCTTTCCGAATGTTTCTTTTTCAGTTGACGTGCGCGTGACGGCGCAGAGCGTGTTATGGAATTGCTTGCAACATTCGCCAAATGACTATGTTTTGGCTTGGGTAACGAACTTGCCAGACTGGTATCCAGTCGCGTCTGAATGTATTGCTGTTGTACGTTTCGCGGCAGTCTATTTATACCACAGCCAGCTTTCCCTATCGTCACATCATCCGCCACCTGCAGATGTGTCGAACAGTTCGCGGTTAAACAACGGCTTTATTTCGGTCATTACTTCTCATTTTCGTCTTTGGACAAAACGACAAATATACGGGGTACACCACAAAAACAGGAAAATCCTAACTGTTGGCGGTAGTAGGCACAATGTGCAGATATCAGTGTCCATTCAGCATTCTTGATTCTATTCCGAGAGCGCGATTTAAACTTGAATGAATAGACCCCTTTGGGTCAGGGTGACAAGTGAAGCGGCAAATTGCATGAAGTAAATAGTGAAGAAAACTAGAGATTCGCTGGTGGATGGACAAACAGTACACAGAAAAGTAACTTGGCTAAGGACAGCAACAGCCGCCATTCCTTCCTTCTGCTTTAAAAGACAACCAAGCGCCCTCATCAGCATAACCATTGGGACAGATCCCAGCTGCTATCCCCTCAGTGCCTCCCTCCCCTCTGAAAAGTTGGTAGAAAGAGGCCAGACCGCTCAGCTAAAATCACGTATTCTGGCCAGCGGAGATTTTCCAAAACACACGTCCTACTAGGTTCCCTGGAAGTCAAAACAAATCGAGATGCCGCAACTATACGTTCACGCCTGTATGTATTAGGTCATCCCAAAAGTTCCCACCACAGGTGTCATCCAGTTCCCAGGCGCGAAATTTCTTGTCCCGGAGAACTGGTTGTGCGTGCAACACATCGGTACGTCCGTTTTTACGTCGCCTCACTAGCGAAGACCACACCCTTCGAGACCGTAGTGGACTACTTTTGAAATAGACGACTTGACAACGACCATCATCTGCTTCATGTATTGACTGAATCTTAGTATTGCTCGTACAAAACCTACCTCTTGCCAACTGGAAGTCCACGTCGGAATGTGGTCATTCCCCTTTGAAATAGCAGAGACCCACACCCCTGGCAGTGCCCCCGCCTAATAGTCGTGCACGTTGTGAGTTATTGGTCACTCTTTATCCTTTTGCCTCCACCTATATATGAGTACTTGAGATAGAAGGACTCCCAACTCTACTGGACATTAACAGGCTTTTTTAGATTTTCCTCCACCAAAAACATCAGGAACTCATTTACAGAACTCCAGAATGGCTTGTTTTGTCGTCTGACATCTCGTGCTATTACTGGTAGTTTGCCATAAGCAAATCGTGTGAATTTCGATACATAATTCTTCCCAGGTGCAGAGCTTAATACCCTTCTAGCACACGCAGTGGCATGTACCTTTATTATCCAGTAAATACATGGGACAGTGAAACTGCGCAACAAGGCGTCCGGAAAGGGCGGCATCCTCAGCAAAATCAACAAGTCTTTCGGCAACCTAGCTCGGTTTGCATGAGAAAAGATTGTCCGCGACGACTGCCGGTTGGACATCCTTGTGCCTCTCTTCAACGAACGGGACAGACGGGAGTACGAGAACTGCCTTGTCATAAGTTTAGTCAGCATCACTGAAAAAGTCCTTGCCACTATCCAGACGGGAATTAGGGCAGGGCAGGTTCCCACCTGGAAGTAGATGTTTCAACCAAATATCAGAAACTTGCATACTCCCAAGCTGTGTCATGGCCACCACCAATTGACTGACTTTGGTATGTTGTCAAATCATGCCTACGGTGTCCCCGTGGCAGGTGACGGGAATAAGTGGTATGCAATCTTCAAGGCCTGATGCAGCTCTACAACTGAGTGAGTTGTGCTATATAACAATCTTGCTTAAACGCTCAGTAATTTTGCTCCGTCACCCATCCCGTTCCCCTGCAGCACTGGCTGGATTATCGAAAGGACTTAATGCCTTGTCTACGATATCTAACTTTTACCTGGTTACCCGTTAATGGGCCTCAGTTTTGCTGGTCTTCTCGGCAAAGTCCTACTTTGGCGATATACGCATCGTGATGTACAAGGAGTCACTTAACCGGTCGGTTCATTCACCAAGATAGAGGATTCTTAGAGTGACTGATGACCAGAAGGCAACCCTCGTGATTGATGGCCATCAGCTTGAGCTCGATCCAAATATTCTGGAGACGGATTGTTGCCAGACAGGAAAAATAAGGGCGACACCGTCGTCCAAATAGATACTGCTGGTAGGATTTAGAACAGTTCGATGTTACCTATGGACCTCAACGGTACCTAAACCAAGACAAACATCCCACACGCACATAATGCCACCTGCCCCTGTGCTTGTGAGGACTACTGTGTGAACGGAGGTCGATCGAAAACGGGGGGTTTCCGACCACCATTGTCCCAGAAGTACACCACTTAGGATATTATAATCCGTAACCCCAACGAAAACATCACACTGGTATGTCAGGCCACCCAGGAAAGAAGGCTAGCGTTCTAGGCAGGCTGACCGTTTGTTACCTCAAATTCCCCGGTGACACATTTGTAGTAAGCAAAGACCTTAGCTCAAGACAGCACGACAGAGGCAGGGAGCGCTTGGTAAAAAAAACTGCACTCCACCCCTGCCCTAGATAAAAAGCGGATTGAGTTGACTAAATCCACTGCGCCAATGGGTCCCGTCAAGACGTTCTCCAGGTCGGTTAGGCCTATTACGGCCGGCCGCAACAAGTACATACAAGTCGAAGCCCGTATCCAACCGTCGAATGTGGCGGTACGGATGCTGGAAACCCCCTTACTGTACACCCGATAGCGTGCTCCCCGAGTCTGTGGCTGCGCGATACAAATGCGACACGCTCGGGTCGCCAAGTCCACTTCCGGTGCTCCAAATATGGCTTCAGCCAACGTCCCACTCAGAATCTGTGGGGACCCATTCGAAATCCTTGGTGGTTGCGGTACTTGGGGCTGACAAATCTTACTGACAGTCGCATTTTTGCATTACATGCGTCAAAAAGTGCCCATGTAAGGTCCACACCCAAAAGGTAGCCTGGATGCCTCGACTTGCAAAATTCTGCTACACTAATGGCAGGACGGGACATAAGGTTCTATTCCGGAAACGAGAATTGAAATTATCTGTAGTGGACAAGCGTCCGCAAAACAAGTCTTGGTGTCTTTTGGGAGCATTTAACCGCATTCAGGGTATGCGGCACCGAAGTTACTTGATATACGCGCTGGTATCCTAATAGACGGGCTTATCCTACTTTGGCAAGACACTTGTCAGGCAATACCACAAAAGGAAAGACCTGAACGCTGCGTATAACCATCACGCTTATGTTGTTTTGTCTGGTGCAGGTGTCATAGGCACTGCGGAAGTCACCACAATAACCTAAACGGAGAGCTTACAGTAGGGCCGCAGGCGGACATTATGACATGTCGACCCTAAAGCAACAAGTGACCTAGCCTGCAGTCCTGTAATCCAACAAACGTGTCATGCATTTGACACGAAGGATGATAAGGGACAATGCAAATACTTGCGGCATGTTCCAAGGGTAGCAGGCCGATGTACGCACATTGAAGGACAGCGAGCGTTTCCTCCTAGTCACGACTAAACTATAGGTAGTTAGCTACAGCAAGAAGTCCAACTACGTTAGGACGTATGGTACCAGATTACAATACGGAAAATAAGCATCCACCTTATCCAACTGTTCTAGTCCGGAACTGTCGCATAATCTCGTTCATGCGCAATTAGTAATCAAGAGCATTACAAGCAATAACAGGGGGACAGAACTAAATTATGACCTCCGGAAAGAAAGACGGACCTACGTTATCCAGGTGGCCCACAAGTGACGCATCGTATGTCAATCGCAATAAAGTTGATAGCGCGTTTCACTGGCACGACTCTCATCTACTTTTGTCGACGGAACTCGAGATAAAAAGTCCCACGCTAGGCGTTGGATTTTGCTGTGCAGTCTGTGCGAAGAACTTCAATATATGTAGGGTTATATGTCCAAAACCATCTATTTCTCAATTTTATCAAACAGCATTGACAACTGGTGGCTCGTAGTGGTCGGCTCGTTCAACGCTTTCGCCAGCCTCCTCCTCCTTGCCTTCGCCGTGCAGTTCCATCAGACGCCCGACTACACACGAAATTAAGAAATCGGAAAACTTACGGTCAAGTTTCGGCTTCTTGAGGACTTTAACCTTTCGCACATAAGCGCCACTAAGTGGGAAAATCCTAGAGGCTTCTTTGCGGGCGTCTTGGCCGATAGAGTCGGGGATGCTTAAGGATGGTAAAAATTCATAGAGCGTCTTACAGTTTTTGAACAACCGATTTAAGGTCACAACGGGCAACCTCATTTTGGACAACTTCTACCATCTTAGCTCGAAGCTTCTTGATGCGGGTGTTCTGAGCGTAAGCATGGCACTTTTGCTGTTCTTGTTTCTTCGTAAAGGCAATGACGAAGAATCGGAGAGTGTAACCGTCGGTGGTTTTGACGTCCACGTGAGCCTCGATGGTAGACTGCCACTTGAATACTAGACCACACAGCTTATCACGAGTGAGATCCATTCCGTGGAAATTAGTAAGACATTGACGACCCTGAACGTCCTCGACCTGCAATCTAAACTTTCGGAAAATATCCTGTGTCTTGTCGTTCAGGTCACCAAGGCTGAGTTGGATAACACGTCCCTTGAGACCCTCACTAGCAATTTTGGTGCCCTGGGTACGGGTGATAAGGGTACGCGCACAGTTCCGTTTCGTGAACATGGATGGAGCTCGCAGCTCGTACCATTCCTTCTTGGCGAAAGGATCGGCTCTAGTAGACAGAAAATAAGCAAATCAGTAACAGTCTGTACGTCTTCTTTTTTCCGCCCTTCTTCGGTCCTTTTTGAGCTTGCTGTTGTTTGGTAGGAGCCATCTTCAGGGAGTACCAAAGCTAGCAGTAGGAGCACGCCTCAGATGCCAAAACTTTCAAGTAAGGCGCGCCACCCATCTTAAACAAGACTACCGAAAATTTTGGACGCAGTGGAGGCCGTTTCCTCCTGATGTCCGAATATTCGCATGCTTCTTTTATGAAAGATTAACAGTATATGGGAACACGCAATACTAGAGCATAAGTGGGTTAGGTTATGGCAATAACGGAGGTTTAAGAAACCTAACAGCACAAGTCAAAAATTCCTATCGACAGGTTAAAGGAGACTATGGCTTGCCTTGACTGCATAAACAATTGTAAACGGTGACTTCAAAACGTATTAAACCAATTGGGATCTAAATGGAATACTGTAACGAGGGCAATAGTTCGGTTCAGTTTTCTGACGGAAATAGATGTGAGTCTTTGAGTACCTTATCTGCAACGTAAAGTTGGGTGAGGTGTACAGGGAAACCACGCGAGCTGAAATACTCCAAATCAGCCCACAAAAGTATGACAAATTAGGCGTTGGTCTTAAGGGTTAGGTTAAATCTTTCGTCGCTCAAACTCCTTCTGGACCATAAGCCTCCCAATGCCCTTTTTAAAGCTGTCCAATGATGGTGAAATCCCAACATCTGCGGGGAGGTCGTTCCACGACTCCACCACCCATAGAAGAAAGGATAGCTTCCGCACATCCAGCTTTGTCAGATGAACATGAAAATTTAATGGGTGACCTCGGAGGCCGGTTATGATAGCAAATTCAGCGAATTTCGGGAGATATTGCCAAGATGCAAATTAAATGAACAGGATTAAATTATACAAATAAACTTGCCTCATCACCTCATGCATATAGAATCTCCGCCAAAACCGCGCAGATATGTGGATACATGTCGCATGTTTTCCTTCCGGGAATGAAGCTGAGACTATGAAATATTCGTTCTTCCAGTCCTCGAATACTGCTGTCCTTTCTTTGGTTTAATGAACACCTGTGACCGTTATGAGATCAAAAATGTTCAGAGGGTTTTCACCCGGAATCTCTTCGCTCAAGTCGCATCCGGCAATTCATAAACTCAGAGATGTCACTTCGCGAACATTAAAATTTTATGGTGCCATTTCATTTCGACCCCAAGCGGTCTGTTGAAGCTCGCGGAGGAATCCTCTGTATTCTTTATCTACTAGTTATGTGATCGATATGTAAAGTGCTCTAATGGTCGTATCTTCCTAGCCCCCTCCTCGGCTGGACTCGAAGCGGACTGTGACCGATCGTGTCAGGGTTTCCCTCTTCTCGCCACCTTGATGCGAATAGCCTCGTTTGGTGTGGGAATTCCGCCTTGGCGATGTCCGTATCGAGCCCATTATACACTACCACATGAAGGCCAGACCTGTCTGACCCACATACCTACACTTCCATGAGTGAAATTTCTTCTCTTACAATGTCCGTTTAGAATCCGTTATACACTACCGTTAGCAGGCCGGTCCTGCCCGTTCTCTTATTCTTTAGTGAGCGACAGTTTCTTTCCCCTTTAAAGCTGATTCAGTCACATTTATTTTATTCATTAGGCAAAGTGTTTTTTCACTGCTTGATAATCGTTTTCTGAATAAACTGCTTATTCAAAAAGGATGCACTGAATTCTCTGGTGATTCTGTCTATCTGTTCTAAAATTCACAGGGAAATATTTTTTACTTGCTGTGATAGGACCCCAGGGGTCTTTAATAAGAATATTTTTACGTATTATTTATTTGCATGGGTCGAGAATTTACTCGTCGGCCGTTCCCAAATCGTCTGCGCAGCGCAACATCTATCAAGGCGTACAGTCATAGAGAGTGGAATCCCACGAGGCTCAGTGCCCGGATCGGCCCTCTTTCTCTCGTCTATTAATACTTGTGTAGAGGACCTGGACTGCTATTGTGCCATGTTTGCAGATGATATTAAAATCGGGTAAATCACCCACGACGCTGTCGGCGAGAAGGACTTTTGAGTAAAATCGTCGTTGACTGGACGCGTGGTTCCGCAGATGGCTCCTGTCCTTCGAACTGAACAAATGCACCATACTGCGTTTCGGGAATCGAACTTTGACCAATAATACGCGGCAATATTATCTAAACGGGATGAAGCTCCGAGAAACAGAAATTCAACAAGATCTCGGAGGCTGGATAGCAGACACTCTAAAGCCATCTACACAAGGTCGTAAGGCGGCTAAAACCGCAACTTCAATGCTGTGCTTCATGAGATATGCATTCACAGTCTTCGATGAAGAACGCTTCTCTAAAGTCTTTGACGGTTTGTAAAGCCGCAGCTTGAATAAGCAATCCACACCTGGAGACCATAGACGCATCAGGGTTCCAATTTACTCGAAAGGGTGCAGAAGCGAGCCAAAAATTAGTAAGAGTCAGAGTACACTGCCTTACGAGATCTGCATGAACAAATTTAATCGCCTTCCCCAGAGCTATAGGCATTTGCGCGACGACTTGATAAAACTTTCCGTATCGTGCATGGCTTGTACTGCGCTCTCCGTTGTGACGACTTTTTTAAACTCGAAACTACTCATAACCCCCGGGGTTATCCCTTCAAACGACGTGTTCCTCAAGAAATATTGGACGTGTTGTGGAACCATGGAATAACCTGCCCGAGGCGACTGTATTGTCTCAGTCTGTAAGGACATCTAAATGCCGGCTTGACAGACATACGTTGCACCAACCAGCGGACTATGTGACTTTGCAACCATAAAAATCAGTGCCCCATGTAATTTTTATTAAAGACCCGTCGGGGTCCCATCAAAGCAAGTAAAAATAAATTTACATGCGAATTTTAGACGAGGTAGGCAAAATCTGTACAAAGTGCAATACATAGTTTTTGAGATTAGAAGTCCGTTAAGAAAAAGGATAAGCGAGGGGTGAAAAAAACACCGCATGAAAATTTAAAAATCATTGGAATAATTTTGCAGGAGAAAAAAACCCTCAAAAATAGATGCAGAAAAATGCGGGCAGGACTGGCCTGCATGTGGCGGTATAGAATGGATTACAGTCGGGCCGAAATAAATGTCAGCTGTATATGGCATTGTATAACGGATTTCATGAAGGGGTAAGTAGGCGGGTCGGCCAGGACTGGCCTGTATAGGGCCTTTAATAAGGCAAATAAGACGCGAAATTGAAAACCAGTCTCGAGGCGATAGGAACCCAGATGCGGTCGGTTACATTTATCAGAGTCCATCCGAGGATGGGGCAAGAGAGATACGACTACACTACTTGTATAAGGCGAATACAGAAGGTTTCGCCAAGAACGTCGATGGAGTGCATTCTGTGAGGGCACGATGCATGAACTGAAAAATTGGAAAAATTAACATTTCTGGTGAGGGGTCTTAGGAAGCGAGATTACTCACAAAGGAAGAAAATGTGAGCAGATACGGAAATTTAATGGTGACATACTAAATTCCCGGTGGCCCTTTCTCAGTGTCATAGAAAATGTTGTCTGGGAAGGATGAGGAAAATAAAAGTTTAATGGAGTCAGTATTCAGATAAAGGCGTCGCCTTCTCTTAAATGTGTGTAGATTTTCTGAAGATCTTATATTTATTGGAAGGTTATTCCAGAGGAAAGTATATCTGGAAGCAAAAAATAGAGCGCTTAGAGGTGGAGGACGCTGGAGGAGGTATAATCAAGGACGAGTTGCGTAGATTGTATGGGCTACTACTAGGGGTAAGTGCTGAAATCCGAGGAAAATTTGAACTATGATTAATTCAAAAGAGGAGACAGAAGCTCGCTTCTAGTCTTCGAACCCATAAAAATTTTAGGTTAATTAGCTTACATCTATCTGAGTAGGAGATATTGGGATGTTCCTTATTTAAAAGTTTTTTAGAAAAGCGTCTTTGGACATTTTCAATTTTTAAACGACTAACCTCATTCATCAAACCAAAGAATGGGCAACAATACTCGAGAATGGGAAGTGCAAACAAACGATAGCGACTTAATTTAATTTCAGTAAGATAGAAATTGTAAGAACTAAAGCCACAAATCTGGGCAGCTTTGGCTGTAATTCTGTCAGCGTGTGGCGAGAGATCAAGATTATTCGTGTAGTTTAAACCTAAATCCTTGATGGTGGTACATTCAGTCATAGTTGTGCCTTGAAAGACCACTGGTTGGGGTAGCCTCTCAGGTCCAAAACACATATAGCGACATTTAGACGGAGAGAATTCCATCAGCCATTTTGAGCTCCAAGCTGAGAGAGCAAGCAAGTCAAAATGGATTTGCTGCAGGCAATGAAGGCTCGTAGATTTTTTGAATGAATATACACATTTGAGATCATCGACATAAATAAATGATTGAGAATGTTTAACTGCTGCCGAAATATCATTTATGTAAAGCAAGAACAAAAGAGGATCTAAAACGGTGCCTTTAGGACACCACTTACAATAGGGCTTTCATTGGAAAGTGAAGATCTCACTCAAACCTTTTGCTTACTATTAGACAGGTATGACTTGATATATTCTATTAGTGGAGCGCGAATTCCCATAGCTTCTAATTTAACCAAGAGTCTTTTATGTGGCACTTTATCAAAGGCTTTACTTAGATGAAAATAAATAACGACGTCCGATAGATGGTCATTACGAAGAGAGGTAAGTCGATTGAGAAACGACAGATGACATGTTTCACAAGAGCGATCTGGTAAAAAACCATGCTGGGAAGGACTAATAACTTGATTGGTAATGCAAAAGTCGATAATTTTTACGGCGATAATTTTTTCAAAGATTTTGGCGAAAGAGGGTTTTTTATGGACACCTCGATAGTTCTGTACGCCAGAACGACAGCCAGACTTAAATACTGGAATAATATTAGAAGTTTTCCAATAGTCAGAGAAGAAGCCATTTACGAGAAATACTGAAAAAATTTTGCTAAGCAGAGGAGGAAAATCTCTTAGCTGTTTTATAAAAGAGTTTTGGATATTATCCGTACCTACTGAGTGAGAGTTAGGAAGATGGCTTATCAGTTTTTGAAAACATGTATTCAAAAACTG